ATTACTACTTACAGCTATTTGCTGAATGCAGGATGACCACATATAAACACAGCACATATTTCAGTAGTGAGTTATTTGAAGTTTGATTTATTCTGATTTCTTGTCAGTCTTATTTGGTTCATGTGATAGCCTTTGGATTTACAGTAAGTTGTCTTCAGACTGAAATTCAGAATGCCAAACTTCATCCCAAAGTGCAGCTGCTCAGTACAGTTGAGAAAGTTGCACGAAATGTATCTGTGTTGGGGGATGAGTTGTTACAGAAAAAGTGGTTTGGTCTGAAGACAATTATATTTTTCACTCTCAAGATCTCAAGGTAGCAGAATGCTAAAGTTGTTCATAAATGTCTAGAATAATATTCAGGTGAAACTATCACTGGACTGTATTTCATTAGAAGATTGTGAAATACCATTGCTGCAAGGTATCAAGAACCAGTTGAACAAGTATTTGTCAGAAGTTGTTTTTGTAGTTCACCCTTCCTTTAGGCAATGTGGTGCACTAGAACAATCTGCTGGCAGTCCTTCCCGCTGCCTGAAAGGGCTTATTAAGCAGAAGATGAAACTAGAATAGCTAGTCATGCTCATTCAGTGGCAGCCAAGTGTCTGCTGATGTGTTTGGCCTGTAGTCATACAGGCTTCAGATTCAGTACAGTTTCCAGGGCCATCTCCCATTTATACTGTTGCCAGGGGAGCCTGGAATACAGAGGCTATAGTTCTGCAGTACCACTGGCTTGTCTGCGTGAGCAATGTGATAGACCTCCTCAACATTGTACTGTCTGTAGAAAATCTGGGAGAAACAAGCCCTAAAAAAGATGATGTTAATGCTTGATTGAAAAAGCAGATGACATGTTTGATGTTAAAATGGTCCTTAGAGTATAGGCACATGAATTTGTAGAATCTCATGAACAGCCTAATACAATTGCAAGAGATTCAAAGGAGGAAAGCGTGTCTTAAAGCAATTGTTTCATCAGCATCTATTCTGCCACAAAACTGAGTCTGCGTTACCCTCTTCTCGGTGTTCTTTTATCATATATACCAATGAATTATCTTTGATTTTTTCCTACGGTTACAGTGTACAGAAAATTTATTTTTCCCAGAGTGTAAACTAACATCTTTTCTTCCTATAAAATGTTAGCAAGATACAAGCATAATACGCTCTATTAAATAATGCATTTCCTATATATATATAAATATATATATTACTATGATAACATATCACACATTTTTAAATAACACAGTCTCTATTTCCCCCCAACATAACAATATTAAGACAAAAGTACATATAAAATCATTTAGTCAACAAACTAAACTAGTTTTAAATGTAGATTTTGAATTATGAGAGCCCCTCTTGTCCAGCTGGCCCCCTTCTGCCTGAGGTCCACATACACTGTAGGCTATTGTGGCTAACACGGTCCATAAAGTAAGGGGCAGTCTCAGAAATTGCTACAGTGGCAGCGGCAGCATAAGTACTTACTGCCCCTGCTTCTGGGGCAGACAACTGTCTTTTTCCTATGGCTTATTGTCCACTTGGCTGTGTTAGCTCACCTCTCCGTGCACCACCCAATAAACAAGATCAGAGAACTCATCTCGCTTAAAAGTAACTCCGGGAAGAAAAAGCGATGGTAATTTTTAACCTGTTCAGTTTATTGCACCACCACATAGCCAGTCATACCAACACAACAGAGCGAGGTGGGGGCCAGAGCAGGGGCTGGAATGCGTGTATATGAGGAGGCAGCTCCTCATGATGGTTTTGTTGTCAAAACAGTTGCTTTTGAATTTGTCACATTTACAGCCTGTCCAGCCTGTTGAGGGAACTGCTAGGTAGAAGGTCAGAAGGCCATTGAGATACAATTCCAAGCAAATTCTTCTGCAGTTATTTTCAATTTGTTGAAGAAAATGCTGTAAACACTAACATCCTGAGGTGTCTGTGCCCTCCAGCTGTCAGCACTCAGCTGCTAGTGTCATACGGGCGTTTCTGTATGCTGAATCATGTGGGATTACAACAGTTGTGCATGTCAGACTTTTCTTCTTTCTCTCCCCAAACCCTTATAGCAAAGATCATAAAGTGCTAATGGATACCATATATGTTGACCATATACCACCATACCACTGAAGTGTTTGCACTAGGAGTGAGAGTGATCATACTACATTTGGAAAAAATCCACAGCAGAGATCTACCTGCTCTTTATGGTCTAAGACTTGTATAGTGAGAAGTGCTATTTAATGGATCCCGACGATGCATTTCTATCTACTGCTGTGTTTCCTAGTATTACAGGTGTCTAGAATCAGACAATCTGAAAGGTCTGGGGGGAACATAACAATTTCCTCTATGCTTTTCTTAGTGTGTTTACCTGTGCACTGTCCAATACCTTATGCTCAGTCATGTTCACTGTTGCCATGGTCAGTTAATCTGCTATAACTGCTGGTTTTATGTGTCTTTCGTACAGAAATTGGATAAACATTCCCTAAGAAAGGCCTATGAAATACGATTTTATTATTTAAAAAATAGTTGAGGATGGGATTGATGCAAAAATCTCGGTTTCTAAATTCTCTAGATTTTGCATTAGTAGCATCAGTCTATTTTGTTGTTGTTTGTAATGGGCTTTCTCTAATTTTAAAGTGAAATTAAATGCTTTAATGAAGAAGAGAAGCTTAGCGGTTCCGTATTTTTTCCTTCTGCAGTAGCAATCAGTCATGGGGTGCTCCTGATGCTTTTTCAGTTTATCAGCATTAGCTAACTGCTTTATAAATGTCCCTTTGACTGTATACGTTTAACTGCTAAAGAACATTTGATGAGGCAAGCAAACAAAGCTTCATCACAATGTGCTCATAACTTCACTCTTAAGGATCTAGCTCTGACACACTGACTCTCTCCTCCTGGTTTTCTATTAGGGAACCATATTAAGCACACTTAGGATGCAAACTAATTTGTTTTGCTACAAATCTGTGCAGTAGACTCTTT